ACACCAGGGCCACAGACACCAGGGACACTAGCTTGGAGACATGGGGACATTGTGACACTTTAGGCAATGAGAGACATGGAGGCACTAGGAGACATGGGGACAGTGAGACACTGGCAGACTGGGAGACTAGGGGTCACTGGGAGACAAAGGGGCACTGAGACACCAGGGACACTGGCTGGGAGACATGGGGACACTGTGTCCCCATGTGTCTGTGTCATAATATCTCCCAATGCCCCTTAGTGTCTCAGTGTCTGCCATAATGTCTCCCAGTGCCCCTTAGTGTCTCAGTGTCTGCCATAATGTCTCCCAGTGTCCCTTAGTGTCTCAGTGTATGCCATAATGTCTCCCAGTGTTCCTTAGTGTCTCAGTGTATGCCATAATGTCTCCCAGTGCCCCTTAGTGTCTCAGTGTCTGCCATAATGTCTCCCAATGCCCCTTAGTGTCTCAGTGTCTGCCATAATGTCTCCCAGTGCCCCTTAGTGTCTCAGTGTCTGCCATAATGTCTCCCAATGTCCCTTAGTGTCTCAGTGTCTGCCATAATGTCTCCCATTCCCCCTTAGTGTCTCAGTGTCTGCCATACTGTCTCCCAATGCCCCTTAGTGTCTCAGTGTCTGCCATAATGTCTCCCAATGTCCCTTAGTGTCTCAGTGTCTGCCATAATGTCTCCCATTCCCCCTTAGTGTCTCAGTGTCTGCCATAATGTCTCCCAGTGTCCCTTAGTGTCTCAGTGTCTGCCATAATGTCTCCCAATGTCCCTTAGTGTCTCATTGTCCCCATGTCTCCTTGCAGCCTTTCCCCCCATCCCTTACTTCCCTGAGCTGTAGGCTGTCTCTGCTGGCTGGGAGTTGCTGTCTGGACTCTCTGTAGCTGCAACCCTGCAGATCAGTGAGTATAGATAGGCAGGGAGGGATATGCTGGAACTTCCTATCCCTGCCTGTCTCCACACACAGCGAGTTGCATAGTAATCTCTTGTTTATACTGAGAAAAATACCAGCATTTGTATTGCCAGTATCACTGCAATTGGCACCAGCCAGGCAGCCTCAAATACTGGCTGTGCCAATAAAATAAAAGCCAGGTGGAAACCCTAAGAGTAGTGTGTAAAAAAAAATAAAAAAAATAAAAAGATTTTTTTTTTTTTTTAAATCAATGGGCCTATTCCATGGGCCTGGGCCTGGAGCTGCAGCTCCATCAGCCCATATGTTAATCCGGCCCTGCTTGTGGCGACCCTAGTCATATGTAAATAAACCAATGCAGAATTTATAGGAACACTGAGCTGGCAATATCTCAAGCAAATGTGTACATTAAAAGATATGCTTATCTGAACACAACGTTTATAACTAATTTTCACCTGTAAGTATTGGTTTGGATCATTGGCTTATATCCCAGTGATGATGATGTGAGAAATGAGCAGAATATGCACACACTGCAAAAAAACAGTAATATAATTTGCATAAAATGCCCTGCCTGTGCCTTTTCCAGAAGGTAAATAGCGATATCAGATGTTATTAAAGGAAATATATGTATAACTGAACTGTATATTAAACCAAAGCAGCATGTGTCTATATATGGGTCATTTGGCACTAATCAGGTTACAAGTGGTAGCCTTTTTAAGAACATAAAGTTTTATAAGAAAAGCTGCCGAGCTACAATTTATTGAAAGTGAAATCAAAGGACGAAGTCAAAACCTCTAGGACAGAAGGGGCTGCATGTCTGGCATTGCTTTACAAGATAATTGATGATTTGCATTCCCTGCTAACATGACACCGTGACTTTAATCTTTTGTGAAAGCCATGTAATTTACTGCGCTGCTCTGAATTTATAATAGCCATTTCGGCTTGCGATGCCTAGCGTGCCAATGGAAGAAACGTAAGACAGGATTGGAATAAATGTCAAATTTGGAAGGAAGCCAGATTCTTTTAGGCGTCGTGTTAGGGGCGCTTTAAGAGAACTCTATAAACAATCCACGTATCACAGGACTGTAACCTTCCGTCACCAAGGTGGTCTGACACACATGCACTGTGCCACCCAACCTGTAAAGATATTATACGGACTCAGTGATACAATTCAGTGTATCTTCTCTTAATATGGGTGTCTGGAAAATATCGCAGCCTGGGGTGATGATTTGGTTGATGAAGAAGAGTCAGTGTTCGTCCCTATGAGCTAGTAACTAGTTTGCATGGAATCAAGGATCTCACCTCAAATGTGACCATTTGGAAGCACATTTACCTTCGGGTCCCAAAACCAGATCTAAGAAAAAACAAGAAGATATAAAGTGAGAGAGAGATTAACTGATAGGGTATCATTTTAAATTGATGCTGATTCCGTAAAAAAGGCATAGCGTAACAATTAACCATTTTAATTATGCTGCTTCATCAAGACGGCTGTGTGAATACTTTCCTTTTTCAATGGGTACCATTTCTAATGATGTCATCAGAGTTATGATGTCAGTTTTAGTAGCTATCCGCTATTTGAAGTACATACTATGCCCATTGCCCAACTTTAGGGTTATGTGGTCTACATACTCCGATGAGGGACTACAGCTACACTATACACTAACCTTTTCATACCTAACCACGAAAAGCCTGGCTAAGAGTCATGGGAATTATGGGGATACCTGTGCCCACTTTAACAGGTACTCTAAGCATTCTAATCATTACAAATCGGAGTAGTATTTTTGGTGTTGTGAGTTTATGGACATCCCCCAATTTTCTGTCAAAACATTTTGTCAAAAATGGAGCTCTTCCCAACATCCCAAGCCTGCCTCTATTTAATCCCGAAAGGAAGGAGAAGGCTGAGAGTATTGGGAGTGGGATAGCCCAGTGGTCTCATTACCATCCAAAGTTTGCAGACTGCTAAATTGTAATTTCTGGATTATCTTAGTTAGCTGCATAGGGCTTGGGCTGTCAGTGCTAGAGAGAGGCCTGGTTTTTGTCCAAGATGGTTTGACGGGAGGACTTGGGAGGGTGCCTGTATAGTCTTAGCACCATAATTACTACAGTGAACTGCAGTGATTCATACATATCACATATGTCCTTGCACTCAAAACTGAAACGGCATCACTGGGGTTAAAACAAATATAATCTTCTTTATTAACATTTAATACGAAATAATCACAAAACCCCAATATAGAGGCAGACAGTAAAAACAGAATAAGCAATAATAGTGATTGGTGGGAGGGGGTGGCAAGCAGGACATACACATCCGGTAAGGTTAGGTCCCCTGCTTTCTCTGTCAGAAACGTTTAAAATGTGAAAGAAAATTGGTAACAGGGCCCACGGGCTCATGGAACCATAAAGATTGCAATGAGCGGTAGTGGATATGCATATAGTTTGAAAGCTACGCGTTGGTGCAGAGAAGCACAGTGCTGGTCTCCCAATGATATGTGTAGACAGGGTTACAGCACAATGTGCACAGAGCGCTATTAAAAGAACACTATAGCGTTAGGAGTTAAAATGCAGTTTTACTTTCCTTCTCTCCCTCACAGAGCCAGTCTCCGCCACCCATAGGAAAGCATTGGGAGACTAGTTTGCATGTACTGCAAAAGGCCACACTGCGTCAATGAGACCATCTGATTGAAATAGCGGAGTTTTGTTCAGTGACTGCCTCTAGACGCATTTAAACAACGCAATGCAAACATTGCCATTCTGCAGAACACAGCAAGGACAAAACTACTGACACAAGGCACCCAGACAACTTCCTTGAAATGAAGTGTTCTGGGTGCCTATGGTGTCCCTTTAAGGCGGACACTATAACAACGTTGCTCTCTAACAAATGCTGCATCATTATGCTGTAATGACAGATGTCTTAAGCTTGTTATTTTGCAAGCACTATTTCCACAGTAAACTGAAAGAATGATATAACAGCCACAACTCAAATAACCCTTCAATGGCTGAAGGAGGATACCAAGTTTCCAAATCTTATAAAGGTTAACGGCCTGCTAAAAGTCCTTAATATATCAATCATTGCCAGGAAATGCCCTCCATGTTACGCTCAAGTACCGTTGTCATGTATCTCGTTTAACCCTAGAGGAACGGCCTCGAAGTTGTGACTCACTTGTAAGAGTTTATGTACAAAGCTGTTTAATTAGCTGCCATTTAAGCTCACGCTCAAATATTTTGTCCTATAATTTGCAATCCCCTCATCAATTCTCTACAATTGCTAGTGGATTAACCCCTAGACATGTGCAAAAATTTATTTTAGGCGATTTGTCTGAATGAAAGTCCAGGTAATCATTAAAAACATTGATTTAGAAAATCTGGTTCGTATAAATGAGCTGAATCGTCTGAATTAAAATCCTTATAAACCACACCTGAAAAAGGATTTTGATTCGGACAATTTGTCTCATTTATGAACGAACCAAATTTTGGAATAGATTCGTTCAACAATACCCTAACAATGTACCTAAAAGTTTTGTGCAGTTAACACACATTTTAGCAAAATATATTGATGTCCAAAAATGATCCAGCTCTATAATAATTACACCTTGGCTATTTTCGTTCACATTCACTATAATTCAGTGTTCCCTGAGCGAACCCCTATGTAAAGAATATTCTATTATTGATAAACTGTGTTTTCTTTTTTTGGAACAAAGAGAAACTTATAGTGCTCATGTTATCTTAGATTATATCATCCACATTGTAACATCTAGCTGCATTATCAGAACTTAAATTCACAAAGAGATTTCCAAAGCTATTTGTAGTTCCGAGCGTAACTCCATCTGTGCAAAGTATTATAACGAATAGCATAAAATATCCTCTAGGATTTAAACAGAATTCAATTAACCTTGTTTTATGGCAAACAAAACTGTATAAATGTGCGGTGGGATTGCAGTTTCTCCAATCCTTTTTACTTTTCACCCAATTCCCATCGTCCTTGTTATATTTGCTGTCTCTAGGACAAACTGCAGCTGTTAGGACAAGTGTCCCTGACTCTCTAGCCTGTGTGTATGTGATGTAAAGGGAGTAGATGTCATGCAAGTAGGTGGGCTTCACGAGGAGGGGGAGGTATCTGATGTCACTGGACATTCAAATAGTGAAGTCCCTGGGCTTTCTGTCTCGACTCAACTCAATCCAGCCACAGGATTATCATATACCCAGAGCCACATTTACCAGGCTCTCAGCATCACACCCATCAGCAACCATGAGCCGAAGCTACTCAAGTACCCAGAGGGTTTCCTCTTACCGTCGTGCTTTTGGTGGAGGATCTCCATCTTTTACCAGGTCCTCTTTTGGGGCTAAATCAGGTGCCTCCAGCTCATTGTCCTCCAGAGTCTACCAAGTTTCCCAATCTGCGGCATCCCCATCTTACTCCAGTTTCAAGGCATCAAGGTTGACCCCAGCTAGAAGCAACTATTCTGCAGACGTTCTGGACTTCAGCCTCGCCGATGCCATGAACCAAGAGTTTCTGCAGACCAGAACCAATGAAAAAGTTGAGTTGCAGGAACTGAATGACAGATTTGCCAACTATATTGAGAAAGTGCGGTACCTGGAGCAGCAGAACCAGATCCTGGTGAACGAAGTGAACCGGATTAAGGGCAAGGAGCCAACAAGGGTCAGTGAGCTGTATGAGGAAGAAATGAGAGAGCTGCGTCGCCAAGTAGACATCCTGACAAATCAGAGGGCGCGAGTCGAAGTGGAAAGGGACAATTACATCGATGACCTTCAGAAACTCAAACAAAGGTGAGTGGACCCTGGGAAGAGGATGTTTAGATACTTTAAGAATGATAGAGGATGCTAAGAGATGCTAGAGGAGGTGAAAGATATGAAGTAGGCAATGTGGGAATAGATCACTGGGGAGCACAGGGGAAAGATAAAATTTACCAAAACTAACAAATTGTGAAGGCAAATACATTAAGGGGACACCATGAAAAAGGTGGAACAATAAACGGAGAGGTAGCATTTACCTTTATATTTTCCATCAGCTGTCTATATGCTGTACATCTGAAAAAGCCTTCAGAGTTCAAAAATAAAGAGTTTGAACTCACTTTACATCTGTCTCATTCTCTCACAATCACAGTCAGCTCTTTCTTTCCTTCCCTCCCTCATATTCTCACCGTCTGTTGCCTAAAATTCTTCTCTCTCCCCCAAGTTTCTCATATCTCAGGACTGCCCATATAAGGGACTCTCTCTTTCACAAAGGATGCACCAGTGACAGAGACTTTGTGTCATTCCCCTATTAAGTTGCTAGTGTATATGATTTAATGTAACTCTGTATTTTAAACAATCTTCCTCTTAAGGGTGTTGTGACCCTCAAACATTGTATAAACCTTGCATAAACAGTTCAGAGTATATTCTAATCAAAACTAAATTCAACGTAATAAATACAATGTTACACAAGGTTCAAACAATGTGCGGTCCAGGCCCTATCTATACTTTGTGACAGGCAGAATGCATGTGCTCCAGTATAGTACTGCTATATACAGTGTGATAGAGGCCTCACACACTCTGTGGTGTAGCACTCCTATATACAGTGTGAAACAGGCCTCTTGCACTCTGTGGTATAGTAATTCTGCATACAGTATGATAAAGGTATCACACAGTCTGCCGCATAGTACACCTATATACAGTGTGATACAGGCCTCACACACACTGCGGTATAGAACTGCTATATACAGTGTGATAGAGGCCTCACACACTCTGTGGTATAGCACTCCTATATACAGTGTAATACAGGCCTCACACACTCTGTGGTATAGTACTCCTATATACAGTGTGATACAGGCCTCACACACTCTGCGGTACAGTACTCCTATATACAGTGTGATACAGGCCTCACACACTCTGTGGTATAGTACTCCTATATACAGTGCAATACAGGCCTCACACACTCTGCAGTACAGTACTGCTTCATACAGTGTGATACGGGTCTTACACACTCTGTGGTATAGTACTTCTATATACATTGTGGTACAGGGCTCACACACTCTGCGGTACAGTACTGCTACATACAGTGTAATACAGGCCTCACACTCTCTGTGGTATAGTACTCCTATATACCGTGTGATACAGGCCTCACACCCTCTGCGGTTTAATACTCCTATATACAGTGTGATACAGGCCTCACACACTCTGTGGTATAGTTCTCCTATGTACAGCGTGATACAGGCCTCACACTGTGGTATAGTACTTCTATATACATTGTGAAACTGGCCTCCAACTCTGTGGCATAGTACTCCTATATACAGTGCAATACAGGCCTCACACACTCTGCAGTACAGTACTGCTTCATACAGTGTGATACAGGTCTTACACACTCTGTGGTATACTACTTCTATATACATTGTGGTATAGGGCTCACACACTCTGCAGTACAGTACTGCTACATACAGTGTAATACAGGCCTCACACTCTCTGTGGTATAGTACTCCTATATACAGTGTGATACAGGCCTCACACACTCTGCGGTATAGTACTCCTATATACAGTTTGATACAGGCCTCACACACTCTGCGGTATAGTACTCCTATATACAGTGTGATACAAGCCTCACACACTCTGCGGTATAGTACTCCTATATACAGTGTGATAGAAGCCTCACACACTCTGCGGTATGGTACTCCTATTTACAGTGTGATACAGGCCTCACACTTTCTGTGGGATAGTATTTCTATATACATTGGGATACAGGCCTCACACTCTCTGTGGTATAGTACTCCTATACACAGTGTGATGCAGGCCTCACACACTCTTCGGTATAGTACTGCTACATACAGTGTGATACAGAACTCCATATAGTTGTTGTGTCTGAGTGTATGACAGAGCTCCAAAGCAATAATACTCCCAGTAATATGTCTGAGTGTATAACAGAGCTCCACAGCAATAATTCTCCCAGTAATGTGTCTGAGTGTATAACAGAGCTCCACAGTAATAATACTCCCAGTAATATGTCTGAGGGTATAACAGAGCTCCACAGCAATAATACTCCCAGTAATGTGTCTGAGTGTATAACAGAGCTCCACAGCAATAATACTCCCAGTAATGTGTCTGAGTGTATAACAGAGCTCCACAGTAATAATACTCCCAGTAATGTGTCTGAGTGTATAACAGAGCTCCACAGCAATAATACTCCCAGTAATGTGTCTGAGTGTATAACAGAGCTCCACAGCAATAATACTCCCAGTAATGTGTCTGAGTGTATAACAGAGCTCCACAGCAATAATACTCCCAGTAATGTGTCTGAGTGTATAACAGAGCTCCACAGCAATAATACTCCCAGTAATGTGTCTGAGTGTATAACAGAGCTCCACAGCAATAATACTCCCAGTAATGTGTCTGAGTGTATAACAGAGCTCCACAGCAATAATACTCCCAGTAATGTGTCTGAGTGTATAACAGAGCTCCACAGCAATAATACTCCCAGTAATGTGTCTGAGTGTACAACAGAGCTTCCCAGCAATAATACTCCCAGTAATGTGTCTGAGTGTACAACAGAGCTCCACAGCAATAATACTCCAATTAATGTGTCTCTAGACTGCAATAAATGTGTTTAGAAAGCAGTGTGTAAATAAGATACTGTGCACATTGTTCTTCAATCTAAATTATATTGCAATTGCATAAATATTATTAAGTCACCTACAATTTCTCAGAACAGTCATATGTGGTACAGTAATATTATATAGAGTGTGAAACAGGCCTAACACACTCTGCTAGTAAATTTTAAATATGAAAAGTAGAACTTTGAAACTTTAAAGGACCACTCTAGGCACCCAGACCACTTCAGCTTAATGAAGTGGTCTGGGTGCCAGGTACCTCTAGGATTAACCCTTTTTTTTATAAACATAGCAGTTCCAGAGAAACTGCTATGTTTATAAATGGGTTAATCCAGCCTCCAAAACCTCTAGTGGCTGTCTCATTGACAGCCGCTAGAGGCGTTTGCGTGATTCTCACTGTGAAAATCACAGTGAGAAGACGCCAGCGTCCATAGGAAAGCATTATAAATGCTTTCCTATGAGACCGGCTGAATGCGCGCGCAGCTCCTGCCGCACATGCACATTCAGCCGAAGAGGAGGATCGGAGGTGGAGAGGAGGAGGACAGCTCCCCGTCTGGCGCTGAAGAAAAGGTAAGTTTTACCCCTTTCCTCGCCATCCAGCCCGGCGGGAGTGGGGGGGCACGAATATGTTTTCCTGGCACTACAGTGGTCCTTTAAGTCACATTTTATGACACATTTGAACAATTCTCCAAATCAGCCTTAATTTCTATTCAGATAGTTTGGTCTAAGATTTGGAATTCATTTTGAATTATTATTATTGAATTTGTGATTCTGAGGTACAGACTGTATTACTATTGCACAGGCCTCTCAAATCTGATACATACACTCTCATACAATGCATAACAATCCGTCTGCTGAAACGTCAAATACAAAAGTTTGTATTTCTCTTCTCATTTACACAGAGTTGTCAAGTCAAAAGGCACATAGTGCTGCCATGTAACACCCGATTTTCATTGATTCCTCTCCAATATCAGACCAGTCAAGGTTAGCAGGTCTGTTTATATCAGGGCATTGAGTTTGTCACATTTACCACTTAAAGTGGTTCTCCAAGCATCATGACCACTTTAGTTGATTTAAGTGGTGATGGTGCCTGGAGTCTGTATGTGAAGCATTTCACTATGAAAAACATATATGTAGATTTACCCCTCTGCTGCTGGAGGTGTAGCTCCACCTACGGCAGCGTCACTGGGTTATCATCGGTCAGTTTGGAACTAGAGTTCCGGGCTGGCTAATGCCATATCTGTGTATTTTCCTGTGCATAGAATGTCAATCATTGACAGAAAGTGGTCATCCGGCCAGTGTACTCCTCACTTCATACTTGCTACAGCGCACTTGGATGAACCCTTTAACATCAGCTGTGCACAGGCTTCCGAAACACTTCCTGTAAAGAGTCATCTAATGTTTACACTTCCTTTATTGTAAATACTGTTTAATTTATAATTTCTTATCTCCTGATCTGTTAAGGGCCTTTGTGTTAAGAGCCTCCTGTGTGTGTTTAGAGCTCAATGTACAGAGCAGGAGATAAAAACATTTAAAGTAAGTTAACATCTGTTTGAAAATGAAACCATTTTAGCTTAGGGAAACCGATCGTCCAAAACTTACAACTGACTCCAACTAACCAGTCTGTAGCTAGAAGAAGTTGGGAACAGTATTCTCACAGGGAACATGACACATTTCTTGGCGTGATCTCATAATTGTTCCTGCAGTAAGGAGCGGATACAGAGATATTTATTTCTATTCCTATTACCATAATAGGAGAGCACAGGCTCAGTCTGTCCCTCTTCCTAATATTATATCCTCCTTGTGTTTTGCGCTGTTTTGACTTTGCATTTTTTTAAATTTAAAGCCAACCCTCCACTCAGTCCTTTAAATTTGAAAGTTTAAATTTACAATTGCTAGCATCCGATCTAATTCTTTAAGAGTGAGCTATTAAGGAGTTACTTAAGATTTATGCATTAAAGAAGAAATTCTGGCAAATTGGATCAACCGCAAAAACAGATGTGAGGAAGGCTAAACTTGATGCACACGTTTCTTCCCAGCTATGTAACTATGCAATTGCAAATCTGAGTCAAAAATATCTTAGAAGGAAAAGTTGAATATTTTTTAGTGTAGCTATGATTCACCACTATTCCCCAAAAGAATTGGAGACTTTTAGCCCCACTGAAAAAGTAAATAAATAAATAAAAATAGCGCATTCTTCTTTCCTCTAAGTAATTTCAATTATTGTAAAAGTTCACATGCTGAGCGTGGAGATATTTTTGTTTAATTAAGAGAACTCAGTGACATCCATCACTCCAGTACTACGTGGCTTGTTTAATGTATTTTTAACACATCCAACGCTCACATTATGTTACAGCAAGTCGCAATGCAGCACTGGCATCAAAAAGTTTAAAATAACGAGCACGTGAAGAGTAACGGTAGTTGCTGTGATACACGAGTTTAATAGTACTTTGGCACAACATGGTTTATTACTGAGTGCCAATGATCTGATATGTAATACTTATCCGTTTAGTGCTCGAAAGGTCAAAGGTTTTTGTTTTTTTGCCCCTGACATGACTTCATGTTATGGACTCTGACTTGGTTTCAGGATTTGTGTAAACTCATAAAAATAGGTTTCAGAGGAAATGGAGTTTATATTACTGGTGCCAAAATAAACATAACATTTTAAGTTTGAGCCTGTTAACGACAAGGGGAAAAAAGTCCTTGGGAGCATGCAGATGCCAATTATATGAAGGTTTTTGGCAGCTGAAACCTGCAAAATAATGCATGTTTGATACTGAAATATTTTCAGTGTGTCTCAAATGTCAGCTGAGCACAGAGTCGTGGCATTGCTGTTGGCACCCAATAAAGTACAGAAGTTTAATGCCAACTTTATTTCTAGAAAAAGATTTACTAAACTATTAAGATTGACAACCAAATTCAGCTCTGTGCATCTCTTTTAAACAATATCCTTATCAATTAACGATACTAATAAATTGGAAACATAACGTCAGGAATCGCACGTCTGGAGAATACTTCAGTTCTTTCATCTGGCCTCTTTGGTGTGTAGGCTTTCTAGAAAACCAGGAAATGTAATTATTTCTACTTTTGAAATTGCTGAGAAAAAGTATCATTTAAATAATTGTCCTTTTTTCTTCTTTAATCAGCTTCACTCAAGGAACGCTATCTATGTAGCTCTACATCATAATGACACTTAGCAGAGTTTACTTTTAGCATGCACCTTAATTGGGATTCTGTTTTTTAGATTGCAGGAGGAGATTCAGCTGAAAGAAGAGGCCGAGAATAATCTGTCCGCATTCCGAGCGGTAAGAATTGTTGTGTCTCTGTAAGAAATAATCATTCCCTGTGATCATTGAATGCGTTACCTTTTCATTCTTCTCCCTTACCTCTCTAATCTTCAATACATCTTTGTTCTTCCTCTGTACCGCATGAAACAAACTCATTGCTTTTTTTCTTCTTTTTTTTTTCTTCCTACAAATTAAATACAATATGTTTTGGCTTTCTTCATCAGGATGTTGATGCTGCAACCCTGGCCCGTATAGACTTAGAAAGACGCATTGAATCCCTGCAGGAGGAAATTGCTTTCCTGAAGAAGATTCACGAGGAGGTAAGACAACCCAAAAGCCACACTGGGGGGATGAGATTCTCAAAATTCTCAAATAAGTTATATCAGAAATGAGCTAATAAGAAATGAGTGACTCATACTCTTGCACTTGTCTTATTCATAAGTTTAGGCTGGGTTTATCCAACCTTCTCAAATCTTTTATTTGTGGTAGATTTACATTTCAGAATTCTGGAAAGTGTAGTCCAACATCCGTTGAATGGTCAAGGCTACATATCCCTGAAACCACACTGTGGGGATTGAGCAAAATACAGAAACAAGTTAATGAGTGACTCATACTCTTGGATTTGTCTTATTCATGAGTTTAAGCCGGGGTTATTCAACCTTCTCAACTCTTTTCAACTCTTTTAGTTACGGTAGAATTACATTTCAGAATTCTGGAAAATGTAGGCCAACATCCATTGAATGGTCAAGGTTACATGTCCCTGAAGCCACACTTTGGGGGTGGAGCAAAATACTGAAATAAATGAATGAGTGACTTATACTCTTGCTTTTATTTTATTCACGAGTTTAGGCTGGTGTTATCCGACCTTCTCAACTGTTTTAGTTATGGTGGAATTCAATTTCAAAATTCTGGAGAGTGTAGGCCAACATCGGTTGAATGGTCAAGGCTACATCTCTCCGACAGACTGAATATTTGTAGCAATGGGGTGATGTAACTATTTTGTTATTGCAGGAAATTCGAGATTTGCAAGCCCAATTACAGGAACAACATGTACAAGTAGAACTTGATATTTCCAAACCAGACTTGACAGCAGCTCTGAGAGATATCCGTTCTCAATACGAGAATATTGCTGCTAAGAACATTTCAGAGGCTGAGGACTGGTACAAGTCCAAGGTAAGACAAAGCTCTATCATGGAACATTATATTGACTTGGACGTCATTATGGGGTTCATATTTATTTATCTTATTGTTTGGATACATCCTAAGTGTAAATATATTAAGCTTGTCTATATTATGGAATGTTTGTGATTGTCTTCACAAGGGCCGCTGAACTTGGCCCATTTCATTGAGATGAAGTGGTCTGAGTGACTTTAATGTGACTTTAAGCTACATAATTTCATATTGAAGCTAAAGCCATCTTGATAACTGTCTCCTTTTATTTTTAGCTCTTTCTCAGATCTTCATGTACCCTCAAATTTAGTTAATATTAGCCTGTCAGCTTGAACCAACAGATGTGGCCAACCTTCGACTCATCTTCCTTGATCTTGAAAACACAGTTTCCACTTTTCCTTTTATTTGGCTTCAACAGTGCATTTGTATTACTTTACTTACAGGTTTCTGACCTCAACCAGGCTGCTCAAAAGAACAATGATTCTCTACGCCAGGCCAAGCAGGAAATGATGGAGTACCGCCACCAAATTCAGTCTTACACCTGTGAAATTGATGCACTCAAGGGAACTGTAAGTATCTATTAAAATATCAGAAAAAGAGATTTGCAGTGCCTATTTGCCTGTAGTGACTAAGCCTCAAGCCACAGGCACTGTGCAAACTTTGCTTTTTATAGTTCAAATATGGGTCAATAATTTAAACCCAGGGATGTCTCTCTGTGTATCTATACATTTATGAAAATCGGTTAATTGAGATCCATCTGTGCTCATGGTGTGATACTTAGCACCCATCTAATCAAGGAAATGCACATAAGTCCAATTGTTGGACCAGAGAGGCGCTGGCACCTGATATATCAATATCCATAGCTTGATGTGCTAATGGTTCTCAGGTGGGCGGCAATGAAGACCAATGGTAAAGCAAACTACTGAAGGTCCTGTATAAAATATACTCATGAAGTGCCTTACCTAGTAGTCTGTTCCACAAGCTATATCTGGTATTGGACTGATTGATTCTATCAGCAATTGGAATTTATCTAATTACTGTTTGTTATTATCACATTTATTGTATTGGGCTCCTTTTCTAATATATACCATGAGAATCATAAAAGGTCAAAAAATTTAATCAACTCATTAAGTTTTGTAGTTCACAGATTTTTTATTAACAGTTGCACACTCATGCGGAGCTTAGCGCCAGAGCCGACCATACGCATCTTCCCATGGCTCTGGGCAGTAATACACTAATCTGAAATAATCTAGGGTACCCCGCAGCCATCGGACCCCCAACCGACACCAGACCAGACATACTAGACCAGACAGCCCCATGCCTTTCTTATACCCAAAAATGGGTAAGAAGGCTCGCCGCACATCCAGGGCCTACCTGGGGTACTCAGCCACACGAGCTGCCTCAGAAATATACAGCACCTCATGGTGCCCCCACGACATTCCTAGAGATAATGGCAGACCAAGATCCACTAGCCCCTGCTACTAAAGAGGATATCGCCAACCTCTTAAGGAAGCTAAGACAGATGTTGGCGGCCAACCTGGACGTAGCCTGTACCGAGGTGCTGTCGGTGAGTGCATGCACGCAGGCTACAGAGGCTGAGGTCCAAGATCTCAAGCGAGAGGTGCAAGAGGTGAAAGACCAGATGCAAAGCCTACTACACTCACACACCTCCTTGACACAGAGAGTAGATCTCCCTAAAGACCGTAAGAGATGTGCCAATCTTAAAATCCGAGTTATCCCAGACACAATAGATCATACTGAACTGCCACACTATTTAAGACGGCTGACAGACTCACTCCTACCTCATTCACAGGCCAAAAACAATTCAGTTAGAGGGCTGCTACAGGATAAATAAGTCCCAACAGGCTCCATTCGATGCCACCCGCGACGTAATTGTATGCTACTATTCCGTGACAGACAGGAACCACATTCTAGCAGCAGTGAGGGGCAAAACGCCATTGGACTTTGAAAATGCCAAATTAACATTTTTTTCAAGAGCTCACCAGGAATAATCTACAATGGCAGAGGTCTCTGGGCCCAGTCACGAGCCAATTGCGGGAAGTCGGAGTGTAGTATTGATGAACTCTACCGAGAGCCCTTATGGCTACAACAATGGATGGCAGAGAGTTGAGACTCACCTCCATAATGAATTCTGCAGCGTTTCTTCAAACACTGGGACTGAGCCCACACCCGGATGAGCCCAACATCACTTTCAACAACCAGACCGGGAGTCCAAACCGAGTAAGACCCTTCACACCTAGAGGGGAAGAGAACTTGGGAGCAGCGACAGAGACCTGACCACCCGCTATGCCCAATGCTGCATTTTGTTAACTGTATTTCTGTTCCGAATTATCCCTGTTACTTTAATCGTTTTTTCTTGCCTCAACCTACAGCAAAGCAACTCTAGCCATGATTTGGCCCAGTATGCTCTCACAGTCAAAGCCCCAAGATGGCCCATGATAGCAGCAGTAGAACCCAGAGCCATGGGAAGGCTGCTAACTCTCCCCTCCCCCGAGTCCCACTAGGTTAGAAGATATTCTTCTACATATCACAACGATAGATACCTAGCTTACTAACGATGCTGTCACCAATAACTTCACCCCACTCACACAAACAACAATGCGACACAACATATACTCAGGATGGACTACTAGCAGACTAACCCGCTATTGCATACAGAACAGGCCACCATCCACCTATGAGGTACCTACACCAATGAAGACCAACAGACACCACTCATAACGAACAAACCCAACTGACACACGCACTGCAAAAAAGAAAGAAAAAAGGCCTGCTAGTGTTGAATGTTTCTAACTGTCGATGTCATACAGACATGCTTTATCTCAACGTATTATGTGAAATCGAAAAGCTTGTAAACTTTCCTCAATAAAACAATGATTGACAAAAAACAAAAAAAAACAGTTGCACACTCACAGGGTTAATAACAATTAATAACAATTGCGATTCTCACTTTTTAATCTTCATTTGTAGAATGACTCACTGCTCCGTCAGATGAGGGACCTGGAGGAGCGATTCGGTGGGGAGGCTTCTGGGTACCAAGAAACTATCTCCAGACTGGAGGAAGAAATCCGTAACCTGAAGGATGATATGGCAAGACACCTTCGGGAGTATCAAGATCTCCTAAATGTCAAGATGGCTCTGGATGTTGAGATTGCCACATACAGGAAACTGCTGGAAGGCGAGGAGAGCAGGTGGGTTAAAGAAGCAATGATTTCACACTTGTCCTGTAGATACTGGCAGCACAGTTTGCCCTAATAACTGCATTCATTTTACATTTCCTAATATTATAGGTACAGTATTACCAAATATGGAAAGGGATATCATATGCTCTTAAAATAACTTAAAGGGACACTATAGTCACCTGAACAACTTTAGCTTGATGAAGCAGTTTTGGTGTATAGAACATGCACCTGCAGCCTCACTGCTCAATCCTCTGCCATTTAGGAGTTAAATCCCTTTGTTTATGAAACCTAGTCACACCTCCCTGCATGTGACTTGCACAGCCGTCCATAAACACTTCCTGTAAAGAGAACCCTAGTTAGGCTTTCTTTATTGCACGTTCTGTTTAATTAAGATTTTCTTATCCCCTGCTATGTTAATAGTTACATAGTTACATAGTTACATAGCTGAAAAGAGACTTGCGTCCATCAAGTTCAGCCTTCCTCACATTTGTTTTTTGCTGTTGATCCAAAAGAAGGCAAAAAAACCCAGTTTGAAGCACAATTTTGCAACAAGCTAGGAAAAAAATTCCTTCTTGACCCCAGAATGGCAGTCAGATTTATCCTTGGATCAAGCAGTTATTACCCTACATTGAAAGATTATATCCTTGAATATTCTGTTCTTGCAAGTATGCATCTAGTAGCCGTTTGAACATCTGTATGGACTCTGATAAAACCACTTCTTCAGGCAGAGAATTCCACATCCTGATTGTTCTTACAGTAAAAAAACCTTTCCTTTGCCTTAGACGAAATCTTCTTTCTTCCAGTCTAAACTCATGGCCTCGTGTCCTATGTAAAGTCCGGTTTGTGAATAGATTTCCACACAATGGTTTGTATTGGCCCCGAATATATTTGTATAATGTTATCATATCCCCTCTCAGGCGACGTTTTTCTAAACTAAATAGGTTTAAATTTGTTAACCTTTCTTCATAGCCGATATGTTCCATTCCTTTTAGCTTGCTAGACCCTGCAAGAGCCTCCTGTATGTGATTAAAGTTAAATTTAGAGATTGAGATACAATTATTTAAGGTAAATAACATCTGTTTGAAAGTGAAACCATTTTTTTTTTCATGCAGGCTCTGTCAATCATAGCCAGGGGAGGTGTGGCTAGGGCTGCATAAACAGAAACAAAGTGATTTAACTCCTAAATGACAGTGAATTGAGCAGTGAAATTGCAGGGGAATGATCTATACACTAAAACTGCTTTATTTAGCTAAAGTGATTTAGGTGACTAAAAGTAAAACAGTTACATTGTAGTATTTTCATTTTAAGTAAAAGAGTGGCTTTCCTCCACCAGAGACGCTGCTGAAAAAGACATACATAGAGCTTTAGGACTAATTCACTAAAAGATGGAGTGTTCGAAATTCACCAAAGAATTTCAAATATTATACTGTAATAGGCGAAATGAAAACATTCTACAAATTCGCTATGTTTCAAGCTCAACTGTTTCAAACTAAACTCTGCGCACCCTATTATACTGTGTGCAGGTTAGTAAATACCCTGTTTCCTACCCTTGCCAATCAGTGATCTATACTTTTTTAAAGGCAGACCAGGAGGATAATGAGCACATTGACAGCAGGGCTTCTTGCAGAGCTCCCAAAAAAATTTGGAGGTGTAATCATCTACAGGGGTTGTGAAACAATACAAAATAATTTATAAAAAAGATCTATTTTAGAAAAATCTACACATTTAGTATTTCCCTTATTTTTCCAATTACTATGTACATCAATATTTATTTCTAATATATTTTTCTCCATCTCTGTGCAGGATCACTCTACCTATCCAGACATATTCTGCACTGAGCTTCAGAGGTAAGTTCTGACACCTGATGTATGGATCTTTTTTTTTGAATAAAGAAAATACTGTGATTTGGGGAGATATTGATTAAATAGAGCATGCCATTACTTGCTAGAGATCTGCTTGCTAGAGTCCAGCTTGGGTCCGGAATTCCAAGGACAATATCTAACATTGACATAAGAACATGCAGACCACGTTCTTATTGACATGTTCCGTAGATAATTATGGGACTGCTGGTCACTGATGGAGATGTTGATTATTTATGAAAAACCTGCAAAGTCGTGACACTGATCACGTGTATGATCACACATAGAATTGGATACTGTTGATATAAATTGATATAAATGAAGCTTATTTAGAATTGTTTCCATTTGAAACCAATGTTGGTTGTTCTGACAGAAACCAGCCCAGAGCAGAGGGCTTCTGAAGTCCACACTAAGAAGACGGTCATGATAAAAACTATTGAGACACGAGATGGAGAGGTAAGATTAATTTTACTTATTTGTACCCCCACCTTCTTTCATGTCTGAATAGGACTAAATAACTGTTGCTATTTCAAGTCATATATGATAATATAATAATATAATATTGTACCAAAGAGGGTTTGATAACATTTGCAATTGGCCAGTAGGAAATCACTGTAAAAGACGCCAGGGCTATTGCATTTCAGATGAAATCTATTTTTATATGTCTACGTGGTATTTACAGACTCTTGCTTTAAAACATAAATGATCCTGAAGGATTAACCGTAACAAAAAATAAATCTACAAACTAGCACATCACAAGCCATTTAATGATAAAACAGATCTACAGTGGCCATCAGATAGCAAAACGATTAAAAGAGCATTATTATAAATATCATAATATTTGAAATATTGTAAGTTAATTGCAGAAAATTGGGGCTTAAACCATGAATAGTGGAAATCTGACAAACAAATGAACTTCCTGATTTAGATCAAAATAGCCCAAAAAATTATTTTATTTATGGCTATATTTTATACTAAAACCTGCAATTTGCTTCCAATACTCTATTTCCCGGGTTAGTGAATTCATGAAATGCTTCACTCTGCTTTTAAACGAAAACTGTCACTTCCCAGGATTTTTAATATTATATATTTAACAAATATGAATTTGTAAGGTGAGAAAAATAGAACTGAAGTGTCACCAAAAAGAAACTTGATCTAATCTGCTTCTGAATATGAATCTATTTTTTTAAAACTTTTTTTCCTAAGTGCTCTAGTTTTAAAAAAATACATAAATAAAAGTAGGGACTTTTTTCTTCAAGTATAGCGGTCAATTTTACAAAACTGGCGATGGGTTGAGCTTAAAGCAAAGTTCTGTTTCAGTTACCAATCAAAATTACCCAAAATGTATCAGTAAAATGAATCCCACAAAGGGGCAAACAGCAGACATCATGGACAGAGGAAAACAAAATGACTGCGCCCAAAAATTGAGATCCGGCACAACATAAAATTGGAAAAAAAAATGGATTATCTTATAAAATAAATTTTAGGTGCAAGTTATAGGCAATTTTCAACACTTTATTCAATAGTGTAAATTGCAGAGAAGTGACATTTTCCCTTTAAAATAAATAGAAAAACAGGGTACGGAGTGCACTGATCCCTTTAACACTCTAGTTACGCATGGGGTGGAGTCTTAGAAATGAAACGTATACGGTTTGCTACTTTTCATGTGGTTATTGTTAACTTTATACAATTCAAACTCTGCATTTTCAGCTGAGCGACTGATTATTTTTACCACTGAGACCTTCGGTAAAGTGAGTCACCACTAGCTTACTTCACATCAATTCATTCAGCTTATAATAGTGAATTCTGAACCCTGCACTCCTCCACTCTGAGCTTGTCACACACTCACCCACATAAAGTCCACATTCAAACACACAGACATTTCCTGATGGGAGAGCATTAGCGGACTTGCAGCTGTTACTGAAATGTTTCTAAAAGTAAAAGCAGGACAGCTGCTTCTTTGAACTAATGAAGGAAGGACATTAATACATACATATAAATACTCCGAGCTGCCTATACACTTATTTATAGACACAACACATCTTTAGCTGCCCTTGCCAGCGATAGTGGTTAAGGAAACACATAGTCACAATGTGATCTATGGAAAATGAGACACTAAGGCAGTGGTTTCAAACCCAAAGACAAAGCAACTGTCCACCGTTCACTTGAAACAGCATCAGAAGTTATTCCAATCTGTTAGAAAAAAACATTTTCATTTTCAAATGATATATCTACAGAAATCATCATTAAAAGGGACATTATATAAAATTACATTAGCTTAATGAAGCAGTTGTGGTATATAGATCATGTCTCTGCAGTCTCACTGCTCAATTCTCTGTCATTTAGGAGTTAAATCACTTTGTTTATACAGCCCTAGTCAGACCTCCCTGCATGTGACTTGCATAGCCTTCCTAAACACTTCCTGTAAAGAAAGATCTAATGTTAAAACTTACTTTATTGCATAGTCTGTTTAATGTAGAATTTCATATCTCTTACACTGTTAATACCTCCTAGAGACCTAGACCTTGCAGGAGCTCCCATGTATGTGATTAAAGGTCAATTTACAGAGCAGTAGCTGAAAACATCTATAGCAAGTTAACATCTGATTGAACATTAAACCATTTTGTTCATGCAGAGTGTGTCAGTCAGAGCTGGGGAGGTCTTACTAAGGCTGCATAAACAGAAACAAAAGTGATTTAACTCTTAAATGGCAGAGAATTGAGCAGTGAGACTGCGGGGGCATGATCTATACACCAAAACTGCTTCATTAAGCTAAAGTTGTTTTGTTGACTATAGTGTTCCTTTAAAAGCGAGAGTTTTTTTGCAGATAAATTATTTGAAAAGTATTTTCTAACAGATTGGAATCATTGTAGGCTCAACAGACAGACAGATTCCAGGCTCAGTAACTGATGCCATTCCCAACTCAATTGTAGTTTAAATAAATAAAGTTCAGTAAAGTCCAGTTAGTCATTGTAGAGTGAGCTAGACACTGTAGGTTTTATTGTACTGACACACACACTCCACATTTATCACATATTATCACGCTGCATGCCACTTTAAAGATACACTGATGTTATTGACACGTAGTAAACTCACTTGCTAAACTCACTTGTTCACCAAATTAAAACCCAGAACTGGCAGGGTTTCTTCTAGGGCAAACATTTCTTAACATTTTATTAATCCAGCTAAAGTCGTCAATAGACAAGGGCATTTTTTTGGGGAATAGGGTAGAAAAAGTTGAGGCACCTAACTCCCAAATTGCTTCTTGTTGACCAAATCTACTATTGGCCGCAGTGGATTTTAAAATGTGATAATTCGCAACGGAAACCCAAGAATTATCACTTGGTATATTCACTTATCTTTCCCGTCATGTTTGACTCTGACATTCAAGTAACCATTAACATGTATCAGTGTGCTAAGGTTAACACATCTCTCTGTGCCCTCAGGTCGTCAGCGAGGCCTCTCAACAGCATCAGGAGGTGCTGTGAGATAGGACAGAGAACACATAACGACGGACGCACGACAAGAAACTTCCATGACCACAATACACAGCCTGAGCGCAACCCTGCTGGACAAATGCCATCTCATGCTGTACTTTCACCGCACTTCTCCTGCACCCCTCACTACCCCCGAGCTTCTCCTTAACCTAAGGACTCTCAAAACAAAATCGAATATAGGAGCTGCTCGAAACAGAGAAACCTCATGTTATGAAGCATCTTCTTTAAGGTGTCTCTTCGACACAGTTCAAACAGAAATAAAATCACAGACACCATCATAAAGAATTGCATTTCACATTCATTCATTAGGCTAGATAAAGTGACTTCAGATTAGTAAATAGCTCCTGCAGTGCTATGTAGATCATTCTTACTGACAAACTGCATCACGTCATGTTAGTCTGTGTATGAATTTACTCTGTCACCTCGTTTTAATCTGTCATTAGATATTAAACACATCAGAACTGGCTAGAATTGTAAGCATTTCTCCTCTTCAAAAAAGAGAAGAATTGCTTATATTTATTAATAACAGATTGACGACACTTTCAAAGTCCATCTATCTCCAGCGACTATAGAGAGTATCTTTCTGGACAACTTATGTATCTCTGAAACGACACACGCAGCTTTCAAAGTCAACGCACGTAGCAATGAACGTAACCCAAATATTTAAAATCCAAACACCGTAGCAGACATTTGATGTAGGATTTGGGATTTAGGTTTTCTACTTATAACATCAAATAATTATATCTTTCTGTAGTTGGATTTTAAACCTGATAAGCCCCGCTATAGTGAAACACTGAATGTATGGAAACCTAGAGTACAGCTTGGAACAAAGTTAGATCTGAAAGTTGTCCTGTGGACTAAAAGAGGGTGTGCAATAATTCGCAAAGCCCTTTCAAATGGAACAGGCAAAGATAATACGGATTAAGGAACAAATAAAAACAAATTGCGCAAATCAGTGTGATAGCGACAGGTTTATATGTTTTTCAAATCAACAGACATATTGTAGTCGAGAAGGAAAAAATATACGATGTTTTGGAATGTTGCTTCAAGTAAGCATTTAGTCGATGTCAGATTTTAGAGAGAAAACGGCTTTGTGGAAAGGTCAACATTCACTTTAATAATTTCACACTGATTTAGAGAGATTTCACAAACGTTCCTTTTAATTTCCTAGTTATATTTAGAACACCGACAATAGTTGTTATAGTGTTAAAGCATGTGATTACTAGGTCAAGGCAGATATTATATGTAAAACGTAAATTAAGGTTGACATTCTAGTGACCAATCAGATGGGATTGGCTTTATAAATGTGGGTTCCCAGAATCCTTTGTTTGTAAATGTTATTAATGCAGAGACTGGGGGGCAAATCAGAGCTAATTAATATGACGTGTTTCTCCTTATATCTGGGAGTTTGGCTCTGAAGATATCAGTGGACTACATTTCCCATAATGCTTGGGTGATCTGCCACTGCCTTACAGAAATAACATATTATACTTTTATACATATTTTTTTCCCAAGTGAAACTGAGATATAATGACAAATATAAACATACACAAAAACACAAAAAAAAACAACCAGATTTATATAATTTTTTATCTATTTTTCCACAGTCATTATGTTGCATTGTGGCCATTGCATTTTAATAATGCAAGTTCCAGCGCATGTTATTATTAGACATTAATTTGATTCATTAAATGTAGCAATAAAGAGAAAGGAATCTGAAATGAAATGTAAGTTCCATATTTATTAACGGTGAGAAAAAGAATGGGATTTTGTGTTTTTTTTTAAATTTTATTTTAAAAACGTTCCTGCTTCATGAAAACGGTGAACGATGACATGAAAAAGGATGCAAACTCCATATGCATAAAAAATCCATCTGGGATTAGGATATCAGGATATTAGGATATTAGGATATGGGATTAGGGATTAGGAAAATTCCAACTCGAGGAAACTGGCTCAAAATATCACGGACTCAGATATTAGAAATTAAAAATAGCAAAAAAACAAAACAAACAGCCACTGCATGTTAGTACATATGAGAGTTTGGTAACCACGGTATCTCCTGCACCTTAGACAGGGTGATACAGCCAGGATGGTGTGTGGCTAATCGTGATGACAGTTAATGCAGCTAAGAGCAGGAGTGAAACATAAACAACAATATGGTCCTCAGAAAGTCTAGTTCATCATTGTACATCGCTATAGAATTTGTTGGTGCCATATTAATCATAATAATTAGGAATAGCTTATTGTATAGTATGATAAGATAAGGGAAAGTTTTGCCTTTCACCTACAGGACACAGACATAATATCTGCTCGTAGGTGATATATTCTCCTCACTACCCTCTGCAAGTACATTCATTAGAAATAAAAGTGTAAAAAAAAAAGATACTAAAATTCTATTACAAACTCTAAGGGTAGATAAATAATGCAGTGGAATTCCAGCTGTTGATTGGAAATCGTACAGAAGAATCTCGTTAAACCAGGCTCAGCAGGCATCTTTGCGGTTGGGTTACCTTCACTGCTCATCATGCTCTCAAAATGTGATTTCAAAGCCCATAGATAATTGTTTTCATGCAGGTGAACTTTGTTTTGCAGCAAATCTAGACTAATAAAATATCAGGCATTTTAGATGAACTGGTTCAAATTTGACACAAAATTAGCGATTTCTAAATCTGGCACTGAAATGCTCAGGAAGAGTGAAGGAATTATTAAATAATGTAGGAATAAAAAGCTTGTAGGCGGAATGGGTTTTGGTGTGTTTATATACAGGGTTCTAACAAAAACGGAATTGCATTTTAATAAAAAAAAAAAAAACAACCAGGAAGAAGACAGGATGAAAATCCTCCTCTTTGCTCATACATGTGCAGGGAGTAAGAGGGTTAATAAAAACAAACAGGGATCCCTTGCATCAATACAAAAAATCTTGTGTGATTGGCTGGGAGGTACCAGCCAATCACATCCCTCCATTAAAGTGACACTATAGGCACCCCGAGCACTAATCTCAATGAGGTGCCCTTATCACATTACTCCCGCACTGTATTACATTGCCATTTTGGAGGTACAGCAATGTTTACATTGAGGGACTAAAGACTCCTTTATTTGCTGTGACACATCCAGTAAATGATGCTACTGCAGTGAGAGCCGAGTCAGACCCAGTTCTTGGTATTTAACACCCTCAGGCATTGCATGAGTACGTTGAATGTCCTCTGATACTTCTCATAGGGAACCATTGGATTCAATGCGTATCTATGACAAGCAATTGCCACACATGTACAATATGTCTTTAAGAAGCATTGGATTGGCTGAGCCTGTTGATGGCAGCGAAGGTGGACCGAACTGCAGAGAGGCTATCTCGTTCCAGGTAACAGGTTATTTACTAACACTTTTACACTAAAACGAGGGCCCTGAAATCTAAACGCAATTGGGGCAATAAAAATATAAAGTTATATTATAACACTATACCTAGCACTATAGAGTGTTCCTTTAACCTTCCATGAAGTTAGCTTTCCAAAAATATGTATGTTTGGGGCAATTAATCTTAAATCTTAATTATGGAAAACTATATTATTTGAGATGGTTGGGAACCATTACTCTAGGCAATATACACTGATCAGCCAACATTAAAACCACTGACAGGGGAAGTGAATAACATGGATTATATTGTTACATTGGCACCCAAGGAGTGGGATATATTAGTCAGCAAGTGAACAGTCAGTTCTTTAATTTCATTTGTTGGAAATAGGAAAACAGCAAAAAGATCTTTGACAAGGGTCAAGTATTGATGGCTAGGGTCAGAGTATCTTTAAAACAAGGTCTTAGAACATACAATGCATCACAATTTGTTGAATATAGGGCTGCGTAGCCCAGTTAGTGTCCAGTTAGAGTGCCCATGACACCTGTCCACCACCGAAAACACCTTCAATGCATCAGAACTGGACCATAGAGCAATGCAAGAAGGTTGCCTGGTCGATGACTCATGTTTTTGTTTAGATCAGGTTGATGGTTGGGTGTGTGGGTGTCATTTACCTGGGCAATTAATGGCAGCAGAATGCACATGGAATAGAAGGCAGGCCGTCAGAGGCAGTGATACACTCTGGGCAATGTCCTGCTGGGAAACCTTGGGTCCTGGAATTCATATGGATGTTACTTTGACATGTACCACCTACCTAGAGATTGTTACAGACCACATACACCCCTTCATGGCAATGGTGTTCCTTGGTGACAGTGGCCTCTTTCAGCAGCATAATACACCCTGCCATACTACACAAATTGTTCAGGATTAGTTTCAGGAAAAGGTTCAAGGTGTTGCCTTTGCTTTCAATTCCCATATCCCAATCCAATTGAGCATCTGTGAGATGAGGTGGAACAACAAATCCGATCAATGGAGGCTGACTTCGCAACTTGCAGGACTTAAAATATCTGCTACTAGTGTCACAGTGTCAGAAAACAAAGTACACGTTCAAAGGTCTTATGGAGTCCACGCCCTGATGCATCAGAGCTGTATTTGCAGCGCAAGGGGATCTACACGATATTAGGCAGGTGGTTTAAATGTGGTGGCTGATCAGTATAGACACTCACTCACTTACACACTCACTCACTCACTCACTGAGTAAAATAAAAATAAAAACAACACAAAGAAGCCATAAAAATGAACCTGTAGAATCAGCGTATAAACAGAGCGGCATGTTTGTCCGTAGCTGCCACTCATCCTCCAGGGACAGTTGTTTGTGCCTGTTCTGGGACAGCTCTATACCTTTCAACGAATACTTTTGCAGTAACACATATTCGGACCGGTGTAATGCTTCTTGTTTTGTGAACATTGTGCTACACTATTGCCTGTGTTTTAGTACATTTTATTTTTATTTTGTGTATTTTAATAATTTCAATTTTCTCTAATAAAAGTGTGTTGTTTTTATTTCTATTCAGTGTATGTGTGGATAGCTTATTTTGATATAGTTCTGGTTGGTTCTCATCCAATTATCTGTTTTTACTCAACATCTTAGGATAATATTGTCGATACATATACAAGGTTAGAGACTTGTGTACAAGCTACGAACTGAGATATGTCTACTTTCCCTATAGGTAACTGCACCAAGTCATTCCATGGTATCGGAAGATTAAGGGACAAGTAAACTCAGACCTTTGTTAGATTACTAAATATGGTGAAGATATTTTTCTGGCCGTTTAAATGTGGATAAACTACAGAGGTGTTGAAGGATCGAGCTATTATTATTCACCACAGGCTAGCACATTCATTGTGTATCCTAAGGTAAACTGTATCCCAAGGAAGTTGAGTTTATACATCAGACTGATCTTTGGATACGAGTGACCTGGTTTTCCAGCTATTGACCTACAAGTTGAAGGATTTAATAAGCTGGTTAATATCAGATGGAAATCAATGGAATAACCAAGGCTTTGAAAGAAACCAAATCTTGGGAAAGGACTGACAAATTCATTTATGACATTAAGGATTCAGTCCAAGTGTCAAACAAAAAGCCACTAACGGGACTTCCTCAGGACAGCCTTTGGAAATTGAAGCTCTTAACATTTGGAGTCAGTATACACATTTCATATGGTAGCATTAAATTCAGTGCTTAGCTATGAGAAGTATCAGATTCACAGAGCACAGTGATTGCAACGCATGCTTTATATTATCTAGCAGTAGCATTGGATTGGACTGAAATCATCATAGTTGAGGATCTCAGAGTAGAAGCTCCTGAAAGAAGAATGTCCGGTGTCGGACTACATTTCAGTTCAAAAGCTTTTTTTTGTTTTTTTACATTCTTTATTTTAGAAGTGAAAAGCATAACAAGCATGAATATGTAGACATTTTACATGAGAATAAATGGCAAATAAAAGGTCCATACATATCGAGGAATGTCAAGAATTCTGCACTTTTTAATGTTTGAAAAATATGGAATAAACAGCAGGAGCTCGGATCTATTTCAGAATAACTAAGAGAGAATTAGAGAAGCTGTAACATAGAACTGTGTATAGGTTCAAGATATATAAGCCACTGGATGCATTCACTAAGAGAGGTGCTCAATAGGGTACCATGTTAAAGGGATCATGAACCATAAGGGAAAGGCCTTTGTAGCAGGTGGGCCACATGGAGAGTAAACTGTTGGCCTCGGTACGGATCTGTGGAGCTTTAACTCGGCCAGCAGAAGTGGAGGGAAGTCCATGCGCACAGAACTTTGCCCATAAGGTTGCACAGATCTGATCAAATGCCAAGATAATCAATCCAACATGTATAGATGAATGTGGCCAAGCATCAGCGGTCGTAGGTCCCAACAGGGCAGCAATCAGAGGAACCAGGCCTCAGCCCTCCGATTCAGCAGTAGGCTGCAAATATTATCCGTGATAATTCTAGCAATATTCTAGTGGGGACCAAGATATCCCCTGACGGCCCAGGAGGGGGTTGGCCATCAGCAAGTGAGCCCCATGTTAAGGTCGAGGATCGAGAGTAGCTGAAAGCCGCAGGTAGGTCTGGCACTGGTTGGAACCTCTAGCTGCAGGCTGAAGATTGTCAAAAGGTCATCAGGGTGCTCCCCAGGTTTATATGCAGGATTTAGGCTAGATAAAGAGCAGTTATGGCCAGTTTGTTACTGAATAAGTAGATTCCCATGATGAGCTCTGGCATCATGCGACCATCTTGGCCGACTGTCAGGCCCTGCCCTCCCTCATCAGCTTTTTTTAATGTAATGTAATGTAAAAAGGTTCAACAGAGTACTGGGGATGGCACCCACAGATTCATAGTACCATAACCACTACAAATACAACCACCAAAGACTTTCGTAAAAACCTGAGAATAAAAAAAGAATTCCAGTCAGTGGCAGAATCGATTTTATTCAGTTACTATACATGGCGTTTAGTAAAATAATCAAAAACATGTTTTCTCACTCCTCGTGTGCTGTTAGCTTTCAATACATTGAATTGTGAGACCATCACTGCGATTTTTTACTTTAAATTAACTCTCTCAAAATATATTCAAAAACTAAGCTTGGTGGTTGATTTATATTTCTACAAGGTGATGCAGATGACTGCCTATTTTTAACTTAGAAAGCGTAAATGTTGCAGCCGAGGCAAGTTAGGCAATGGCATCCTGTTACTTGATAAACATAGCCTAATAAGGTGTATAAGAGCAATTGCATAGGAAAGCAATCATGCTTGCAGTATAAAAAATGACCAGTAGATGGCATTTGCTGCCCACTAAGTATTTAACAAGACTCCGAGCTGGAGATAGATAAAGGGAATTATTTACTTTTCTATAATAGTAAATGGAAAGGATACAAAAAAAATCATCCATTCATCCTTTCACTCATCCATCCCTCTATCAGCAAAACACGTCTCCAAGCTCAACTGCCTTTTATCAGTCATTCAGTCTGTCTGTCTGTCTGCCTGTCTGTACATGTATCTGTCTGTTTATCTTTCTCTCTGTCTATCTATGTTCAATCTTATCTGATTTTACAGTTGACCAAATTCTAAAATATTGATTTAGTTGATTCTTGTAAACTCTTTATGTTATATTGTTGCAAATTCCCAGAAACTCCCCACTGGATCCCAGAAACTTATGGGTGGGTCATTGCATTGTCACACCGCGGGCACAGGATATAGGGGGCTTCCTTAGACGTCACAGTATGGAGCAGCAAAAATCTTTGCACTGGCGAGTGTCCCTGCAAATTGTATTAATCTATTAATGTGCTGCCAATCACAGTGACGTTTGTTATCACATGTCTGCTCCATACTATGTGCAAGAGTCAGGGATATTATTATTATTATTATTATTATTATTATTATTGCCATTTATAAAGCAAAAACAGTTTCCATAGCGCTTTACTATTGTATAAAATTATCTGCTACATTTTGTCCTAAATCTACTAGTGCATCTATCTTTGTGATTAGTTTTCCAATACCAGGTCCACTACACGTCTAATCAGCAAAACGTACATACAAATTACTAAAGTGCCAAAATTAGGCATAAACAACTGTCTGGCTTATGTCCAACTACACATCCCATGATCCTCAGCTAGAGCAGTAGGGGAGGAAAACACAGCACGATACTCTCTAGATTGCAAAGACAGATATCAGTGACAGGGATGGGATACAGAGACTGCTATGGATGGTAGCCAATCATATCTTCCTGGCGTCTATTACAGCTGCACTTTTGGTCTTGTCTTTGGGCGATCAAAGCATACAATTTACATCGGCCGACGTGCCATGTTTAATGTCAGTAACATCTAGTGGAAATGCACACTAACACAAATATATCATCTTAAAGGACCACTATAGTGCCAGGAAAACATACTCGTTTTCCTGGCACTATAGTGCCCTGAGGGTGCTCCCACCCTCAGGGATCCCCTCCCGCCTGGCTCTGGAAGGGGGAAAGGGGTAAAAACTTACCTTTTTCCAGCGCAGGGCGGGGAGCTCTCCTCCTCCTCTCCGCCTCCGATCCGCCCCGTCGGCTGAATGCGCATTCACGGCGAGAGCTGCGCGCGCATTCAGCCGGTCACATAGGAAAGCATTATCAATGCTTTCCTATGGACGCTGGCGTGCTCTCACTGTGAAAATCACAGTGAGAAGCACGGAAGCGCCTCTAGCGGCTGTCAATGAGACAGCCACTAGAGGAAATAGGGGAAGGCTTAACCCATTGATAAACATAGCAGACTCTCTGAAACTGCTATGTTTATAAAACAATGGGTTAACCCTAGCTGGACTTGGCACTCAGACCACTTCATTAAGCTGAAGTGGTCTGGGTGCCTAGAGTGGTCCTTTAAAAGTCTTGGCAATTGCATCTTCTGCAATACAAATAAACACTTCAAACTCCCCCTTCAGCATAGCAACATTTTGAAATATGGACTTGCAAGTGTAGATATTGAAATGTAATTTCTCGTTATATGAATGTAGCAATAATGTTGCATTAAAAGACCTCTGTATCATTATAGTGTGACTTATAGTGACAGATGAATTGTAATGAGTGGATTTCGATTGGTGGGGAGGTTAGGAATGATTAGGCATAAGTTAAAGGAGACTTAGGTACCTGCCTTTAAAGGGACACTATAGTCACCAAAACAACTTTAGCTTAAAGAAGCAGTTTTGGTGTATGGATCATGTCCCCGCTGTCTCACTGCTTAATTATTGGCCATTTAGAAGTAAAATCACTTTATTTCTGTTTATGCAGCATAGTGCAGCCCTAGCCACACTTTCCTTAAACTATCTTCTTACTGGTTAATGTAGCTGGTTCGTCACAGCACACTTTCTGTCCCTCCAAACTGCAGTGTTTCTCCAATAAGCCAGTGGTTCACGTCATCAGAAGGGACAGCTGAGTTGTAGTTCGCCGAACAGACTCTATAAACATGTGATAACTGAAAAACATCTTCCATAAAGCTTTGCTCTACCCACAACACCTTAAACATCCTCTAGACAAGTGTGAGTGATTCTTGATTGACGGACCATTACGCTGCCTGATCTGGGCTGTCTTGCAACATATATAAAGTCTGCAAATTTATTGCAGAATCAGCAACTTTAAATTAGCTGACCTTTACATCTTCCATTATTTTACACTGGTTGTGTTTTCACGTATATTTTAAAGGTACACTGAAACTTGCTGGGGTGTTTTATGTGTTGGCAGTATCTCCTCTCAATTCCAGTTTTGGGTTTCTATTTCTATTTGAAGTCAAGACTTTGCAGAAACACCTCCCTGGCTGTCAATCAGACAGATGGAAAGACTTTTTTTCTGGTTCTGTGAACTCCATGACCATCTAGCAGAGCGCCCCTACCTTCTCTCCAGAGTAAAGGTGTGCCTGTCGGTATACGCTTTCACAGAGTCCACTTCAGCTCCAAACAGACTACAAATCAGAGGCTTCACCTTTTGCACATTTTTTCTTAGATTTACCCCAATGGAATAATGCATAATTAAATGTATGTATGTTTTTATTGGGTTAAAATCTACTAAATTGTTTTAAAAAATCCTATTGGAGTTTTTTTAAAGTGATTCTGTCACCATTTGGGGTCTTTGCAAAGAACCCCGACAGTGATTTCGCTGCTGGGTGTCCAGTTTTGAGGGTGCAAGGAAGGTGAGTTATTCTTAACTGAACTGCCCCTCGTGGCCACCATCACGTTCTTCCTGAACTTCCTCTTCAGCTACTGGAGCATCAGCATCCAGGAGCCCACATCAGCGTTGTACTCTCGCGCATGCATGAGGTCTATGGAGGATTCCTCAGGATCCTCCATAGACAAAGCCTTTTCCCCCTCAGCCCTCACTAGTGAAAGATGGGGTCTTGACAAGGCTCGACAAGAAGTAGCTCCGCCTTTTTTTGTCAAGCTTGTCAAGCGTATAAAAAATACCAAGACCAAGTAGTCCCTTCTTCAGTGAAATACAGAGAAACACAGTCAATGTAAGTTTTCTATAAATATTTTATCTCTATGAAATGGCCATTTTGGAGGGGCTGCGGTGGGGGTGACTATGCTGCTTTAAGTGTTTTATCCACTCAGAGTACAATATATAAAAACCAATTGGTTAATTTGTAGCCTGTGCCCTTTTATATGATTTGAGGGTTTCAGTACGTTTAGGACAGAATGTAGCGGATTCTTTTACACAGCTGTCTCTTAGCCCCAGCTCTTGCATGACACCATGGAGCAGAATTGTTATTACACATCAGCCATGCAAAAATATGGTGATTGGCAGCGGATTACAGAGAACACAAGTCAAGGATCCTTTTAAATTGGAATTTAATTTAACAACAGACTTTGAACAGCCATTTTCTTTTTCTGTATTTAAATCCTGCCAGCATTTTAATTCGCTCACCCATCTGTGTGTTTCATAGCCACAAAAAAGAAACACGCAGGATTATACCACTGAAATCTTAGGAGAAAAAAATAGAAAAAGCGGCCACATATGTACATTCTATGATATAATAAACACAATATTCCCTGCTAACGTAACTCACTGATCCCAGGCAACAAGGTTAATGCTCTAAATAGATCCATTTAGAATTAATTCTTCAATTTGTAATGAATGCCAACATTATACAGTCTAATATGCAGCACTCATCCTTGTGCCAGCTGATTAGCAACTTCTTCATATAAGTTTATAAATGTATAACTGTCCTAGATTTCAAGGTCAGTCCTGATTTTGCTCTGTGTAGAACATTGTTTTCCATGGTTTGTTAAAATTTTATTTAATATTTAATGATTGAAGGCGTTTGGTGAAAAAATATTTGGAGGCATAAATGCTAACCAGGAAGGGAAGCACTCACTCTGCAGAGAGCCAGAGAAAAATACTAGTGGCATTTCGCTGGACCCATAGAAATCTAGGGGTGGGGGCAAATTGCAATCACCCCAAGGCCCTCTTGCTCTGTTCAGAGGGTAAATATTACCAAATGTGGAAATAAATTGAACGGCTGTTTTCCCACCTACTCTAGTATGGGATTGGGGATTTATTAAGCAGCCATCACAAGCACAATACAACGTTAGCTGTCCCTGTCTCCCGTTAATCTGTGTATTATTGCTCATGTCTATACGAGTATTTGTATGACTTTTTTTTTAATAGTTTTTTTTTATTGAAAAGAGAGATGTGATATATACAAAAACATCGCAAACAGTTATAAAGCATTTTAAATAGATAATTGCATTGCATACATATAAACAGTAGGAGGTTATTTGTTATCTATCTCCATTCCCATACTTTTATGATTTAATTTATAGGGACGCAATTGTCACCAAAACAACTTTTGCTGAATGAAGCAGTGTTTGTGTATAGATTATGCCCCTGCAGTCTCACTGCTCAATTCTCTGCCATTTCGGAGTTAAATACCCAATACTTCCCTTACCTTTTGTGTCACTATACCCCACTCCCTCTAGCATGTAAGCTCATTGAACAGGGCCCTCAACCCCTCTGTTCCTGTGCGTCCAACTTGTCTGGTTACAACTACATGTCTGTTCGTCCACCCACTGTAAAGTGCTGCGGAATTTGATGGCGCTCTATAAATATCATAATAATAATAATAATAAATCACTTTTGTTTCTGTTTATGCAGCCCCAGCCACACCTCCCCTGGCTGTGACTGACACAGCCTGCATGAAAACAAAAATAGTTGCATTTTCAATCAGATGCAACTTACTTTGTATCTCCTGCTCTGTAAATTGAACTTTAATTACATACAAGAGCTAACAACAGAGCAGGAGATACAATATTCTAAATTAAACAGACTGTGCAATAAAGGAAGTATAAACATTAGATGACTCTTTACAGGAAGTGTTTAGGAAGGGTGTGTAAGTCACATGCAGGGAGGAGTGACTAGGGCTGTATAAACAAAGTAATTTAACTCCTAAATGGCAGAGAATTGAGCAGTGAGACTGCAGGGGCATGGTCTATACACCAAAACTACTTCATTAGGCTAAAATAGTTTTGGTGACTATATTGACCCTTTAATAAAAACAAGATTTACCAAAAAAAAAAAATATATATATTTCAAACCATGTGTTGTCTCAGACTGTTTAATGATTTAATGAGCCTCTAGCAAGTGCAGTAACTCCTAACAGCTTGCATGGTAGGCTCATTCATTCATTTTCAGATATGAAACTAACACAGAGTGCGGAAAAAGATATCCATTGAACCCTGCCAGACAATGATCAATATCCAGCAATCTCAGTGAAAACAATGTGATTGGCCGGACCAGTATTGGTTTAGAAATCTCTGATACTTGCCCAGAATTGCAGACTGAATAACATTTTCATTTTGACTTTTTTAAATGTATTTTTCAATTTGCATTGCATTCACAGTTTATTGAATAAAACCACTGTCAAAAAGAGCTGAGTTAGGAAAAATCCATTGAAACACAGATTGCAGATTTATTTTTTCCAATTTGTCTTCTTCAGATTATTTTGGTCGATACATTTAAAGTTCATACCCTACTCACCACAACTCACTGCTTAGTGAATAGACCCCATTGACATCTAGTCTGCCAGTTTCATAATCAGAATATTTTTATTTTGGTTCCAGCTCATGACGACTGTGCATCTATTGCAAGCCTTCTTTAACTCTTTCATGGCTATTGGGCTCCACCACCTCTGCTGGAAGGCTTTTCCCTGCATTTTTAAGGTGGCTGTTAAAAAAAGCATTTTTTTTCCTGAAATAAATAATCCAATGCTTCTCACAGAGAAGAACTAAGGACCCACAGCGCATGCACAGCTCTTGCACCTCTCCATTAATCCATTGCTTCTTTATAAATACCCATTGTACAGCGCTATGGAATCGGATGGCATTATATAAATAATAAAATAATAATAATAAAAACCATTAGTGGCCTTCGTCGGCAACAGCGTCATCAGTTGTAAGATATATCCAAGTTCTTCACTGTGAGATAGTACCTCTAGTGGCTGTCTGTCTAAAAAAGGAAATGGTTCTATGCACCAAAACTACTTCAGAGTGCCCCTCTAAAGTTGAGTATTATTCCTTGTGTTTCTCCATAGCTATATTCAAGAAGGGCTGAAATTGAAGTGACGCAGTTAAAGCTATGGGCAGCACTCCTGTGTTTAAATTTAGGGTTAGGAGGGTTACAGAAATATTCGAGCTGCTGTGTTTTACAACTCCCATCATTCTCAGCTAAGAGTGCTGAGAATTAAAGTGCACAGTTTATCCATGTCCAGGTACAATACATTGGGGTTGGGACGGACTAGTGCACAGCAAGAAAGTTCAGTTCTACTGAAACATTTTTTGTGAAGGTAGAACATTTTTCAGGACACCTTAATTCTGTTGGATGTTGGTTCCTCTCAGCCGGAAGAAAAAAAAAAAACACAAAAAGGAAGGAAAGTGACCCAATTAATGAGATGCAAAATATAGATATAATAGTAAGTATATAGTTTACAATACTCTGAAAAGACATTTTAAAATGGGCAAATTTAGAAAATTCTCCAACTAGGCTGATTTCATTTCCAGCTTTTTCTAAATTAAAATTTGCAATATCTTCTCCAATTCCTTATAAGTTATCTTTTTAGCGAATAAAGCCCTCCATTACTGTGCTGTAACAATGTTATAGTAAAAACTACATTTATTTTTTTTACTGCTTTCTGCTGCCCACCCCCTAACTCTGGCACATCTCCTCTCAATATGGTAACTTTATTCCCAGTTACTATTCTTTGCACAAGGAAATGAGAGCTAGCGAGGGAGGGGGGCTGGAGGAAGATATTCTCTGGGTATGGGAGGGAAGGAGAAGGCAAGTTGGGGGGGGGATGAAACGTTCAAGCCAGCTAATGTCACATATCATGAGTGAAGGCAGCTGTCAGTGCCACTTTTGGAGCATTGGGAGAGGAAGAGAGGGGGTTGGTGGGGGCTAATGCGAGTTCAGGTTTGCAAGGTCCTCTCTTGCAGAAGACAGCGTGAAGGGAAGAGGGTGAAAGAAGAGGGGGCACAGTCCTGGGGTTATGTCCGAGGGCTGCTACCATCACCACCACAGGCCAAAGAGATAGCACCTAGTCCAAAGAAGCACAGAGAAGGTCTTGTGCAAGAGTGACGTTGTTTTAAGGAGCGATACCACCCTGAAGGTACCAGGCCCTGTTTACCAGCTCAGCAACCTCTCCCAATGCCCTGAGGCTGTTGCCCCCTCATTAAACTCTCTGTTTGTTGGCCTTAAAAAGGAAACATTAGCCAGCTTGCATTAGCCACTTATTACTTACCTGCACTTTTTAGAAAGCATATAATCGGCTATCATTTGTAACCACTACCCCTCACTCACACAAATGACCGTCACCTGCAGCTAAGGGCTCAGTGTATACCTGCAACATCCATTAGGCTTTTCTGACATCCCAATTTAACTAGAAGCAATTCACCCTTTTCCTGGGAAAGGATTCATTTTTCATAATGCATCGTGCTCAAGTAAGGATGAACCTGGCCAAAAGTGGGGAGTCAGCCCCTGAGCAATTTGTCTCATCATCTCGAAGCTTCGGAAGGCCTCTGACATCTCCCCCAAGCCCTGGCTTGTCCCCAAGACATGTTAAGGTGACTCCGGAGACTGGGCAGCCGCAGCCCTCACCGCCTCAGTTTATACGTAAGCTTAAGAACGCTGCCGTAGGCACGGGCTGTGACATTCGCCTAAAGGTGGCAGTGTCCGGGTATCCCTTGCCAAGTCTAAACTGGTACAAAAATCAGGAACCTCTTAATCCTGATGGAGACGAATACGGGACACTGTGTATCAGGGACACTAAGATGGAGGACGCTGGCGTATACACCTGTGTGGCTCATAATACTTCGGGAGAATCCACCACAAGCGCAGTACTCGCCATCATCGACTTAGAAGGTAATATTGGGTGAAAATTCCAAGCTTTGAGTACAATCCTACAAGCATGCCTACTGTTGCAGCATAGTTATAGTATATCAAAAAGATAATGTGGATTAAGAGTGCAATGCCTATAGGCCCAAAGCTTCCGAGAGATTTCCAGCCCTTTAATAACTACCAGCTTTAGTTCTAAGTGAATTTTATTAGGGATTTATTTATTGAACAGTTTGCTAGCCTTTAGTAACAAACAATTTGTAAAGTTTAAGTAAAAAAACAACCGAAAAAAAAACAACGTAGCAATAGATTTCTTTGCCAACTTGACTATTTTTGTCTTTACATTGTAAGAGTCAATATGCAGCCATTTATTATTTGGTTAATACATTTCTAGAAAGTGTCTCCACTGAATGGTAGTAAGTTATCTATTTACTTGCTGTGCAAACCTTTGATACTGAAAGATAAAACATTTGTATTTTTATTGACATTGTATTTTTTTTATTTTTTTTTCATGTTGACATTGACAAGAAATAGTCTTAACCCTGTTACCCTTCCAACTATTTTATTTATTTCTGTATGTTTAGTGTTTATTGCTGTTTCATACAAACTAATCCGAGATGACTAAATGTGGACTACTGTATTGATACATGATAAAAATGATGTAATGTCCCCACCTGCTGTGGAACGTACAGCTTTATGACACCGGTGGTATTTGAGCCTCTCGGAATTTAAACATAGTATGAAACGTATGTCATCCTCCCTCCCCCCCCAAAAAGACCTGTATTTACTCCAAGTGAAAAAGTAGGCAGGTATTGGTAGACTATGACAAATGACTGATATTAAAAGTTGGTGTTCAAAATACAACATTATTAAAGTGGCACAATTTATCAATAAGTATTTTATTTTTCATGTGAATGTTTCTAGAATATAGAGTTTCTATCTGCATGTTTCCACTGCCTTAAAAAAAAGCTACTGAGCACCTGTTAGGTGATTGTGACATGGTGGCTCTTTAAAGCCAAGGACATTTTATCTGTGCATTCTGGTAGCCAAATATCTAGTTAAAACTAAATGTATGTATAAACTGTTTTTTTAAATAGAAGATTTCATTTTATACCTTTGTATCTGTATGCTGGCTCCACAAACTATACGTAGGGTTACTGTGATTGATGTGCGTGTATTGGCTGGAATAAAACAAATTAATTATAATGAATTTGCTGGAGATTTTACCATTATAAAGGAGATCAATCAGTAAATTGGGTATCATGGAGAATTTACAAAGAGAACTGCAAATGTTGGGCCAAAATACCAATAGATTTTCTAACCCAGCAGATATTTTAAGCAAAGATTTGAACTTAAATCTGAACAGTACTATTCATAGAGAATTATGTTTATACAACTCTACTCCTAACTCAACATTCTAATAAAATTTAATTACACCAACAAATCACCAAAATCCAGTGACTGTAGCTCATTTGGAAAAGTTTTTTAGCCCCATTGACGTACATTGTGTCATTTTGTCACATTTCTCCGCCATTTACTGCATACAGTTTTACCTCTTAAAGTGGAATTGTCATGTCCTAGGATTTTTTAAATGACATTTACTTATCCCTATATTTACCAAATATGTATTTGTGGTGAGTGAAAATAAAAATAAATGCAGAAATCCACACGTCTTCATCCTACACCTGGGCGCCTCAATCTTAGCTCCCTGTCAATCATTGTTGAAAACTGTCCTTTGCACTGGCAAACAGCACAGAGAGAGCAGACAGGGAAGGGGAGAAATGAAACAATGTTTTCCTACAT